TATTTCAAAAAAAAATTCTCTCTCTCTCTCTCTCTCTCTCTCTCTCTCTCTCTCTCTCTCTCTCTCTCTCTCTCTCTCTCTCTCTCTCTCTGTCTTTGACTAGGAATCAAAATTAAGATCTTGTACTTGCCAGACAGGTGCTCATGCCACTGAGCTATATACCCAGCCCCAAAAATTCATTTAAATTAACCTAAGTACTTTAATTTTTTAATGCAAATGTTATTTTTCAGGCTAATACTCTCTTACTTTCTATTTTTTACCAAGACATACCTTAGTGCTTCACATATTATAAACTTGAAAAATAAGTTGGCAGAATAAAGGAGTGGATCTTGCACAACTGGAAAAAGTAAAATAAAATTAAAAGTCTACTGGTTTGATCAAACTGAAAAATATGAAACAAGGAAAAGGAAAAACAATAGATTGTGTTTTATCATCTACATGGGTAAATCTGGTATTTGCCATTGATCTATTCTTTTTGAAGGTAAGAAGAGGCCATATTAAAGAATTTGTGTCAAAAAGTGGTCTGAAATTTTCTAACTCAGCCTTATAAATACAAAGCACAAAAAAAAAGCACAAAAAGAGCTTATTCTGAGAGAAAGAATTTGAAGAAATAAAAAAATAGACTGAAATTTGCTAGTCTGTGGTAAACCACAATACTTGGTTAGGCAAAGCTAACGTAGGTTTATGTATGAATTCTAGGCCATGTGTTTGACTTTTAGTGGTTTGAATAGGTGATCAGTAAATATTTCTGCTGGAGATATTTTAAAACATTGTCATTATAGACTTGTAAATAAAATTGTATCAAAGACTTTAAAAATTACTTTTACATTTCAGTTTTTTATGAAGTTTTTGAAAGTTGTTTATTCATTAATTACCAAACAACATATAGTAATGCATACATTTTAATGATACCAATACAAAATGTAAATATTAGTAAGAAAATGTAGCTTTTTCTATTTTTATTTATGAGAAATAGTAAAATTAAGAATGTCTGTTAAGCATATGCAGATGAAATATTTTGAATATATTATAACATTTATATTCATATTGTTTGTATCACAGAAAACCTTTTTCACTGGTACCTCTTTAGAGTAATACTTTCATCACTCCTGGTGTTACAGAAGGTTTAAACAATGGTATCTGAAGGAATGGATAAGCCTAATACACTAGTAAGTTTATAATCTTTGACATATAAATTGAAAAGCCACATTTTTTTTGGTGATTTTTTAAAAATAAATACATCACTACAAACCTCATGTTGACACAAATATTTCAGAATGAAAATCAATTTTAATTTTCTTTTTGAGACAAGGTCTTATTATGTAGTTCAGTCTGGTCTTGAATTCAATTTGTTAGTCCAGGCTGCTTTTGAACTCCTGGTAATCCTCCTGCCTCAGCTTCCTAAATGCTGGAATTTTCGGGTATGGGCCATCATACCCAGCAATTGAATATTTCTGGAAGTCCTAAAAGACTCTGGCATATCAAGGAATTTGAAATGAGGTCTTTTATTTTCTATGATGCAAAAACAGTTTAATAGCAAATGTTTTTGTTCCTATCCTGCATACAATCTTAATATTGATTATTACAGAGTTGACTGTGCTGTGGAGGGATATGAGAATTATCATAATGTTTAAGTATTTCTAAATAAAATCCCATTGAGATAAATTAAAAATACATTGAGTTTTTATATTACATGGAGTACAGCCTGCTTCTCCACTGTTTCATTAGCACCACTTTACGTCTCAGTGTTTGAAATTATGTGGTGAGACATGTTTCTTAATAAAACAGAACTATCCCAACCAGCACTGTCAACTTCAAGATACTTTTCCTTGGCAGTAAATGGGTAAGAGTTGAAAGATAGCCTATCCTACAAAACACATCTGTTAGAGGAAGCTAAATGATGGTCCTAGAGATGTGTAGAAAAAAATATTCTCTGGTCCACCAAACTTTGCATACTCAGACACTTGACAATTCAGCCAGATAATAGGAAATAACATATTAGGATTTATAATTCCAAATGTGAAAAGAAAGTGTTCAGAGCATTAAAATATCTGTATAGTACTTCGTGTTAATCTTTGTGTATATATAATAAAATAATTATTAATCAGCAGAATGAACCTCAGTTGCCAGTTAAGTGATTGTGCTGTGTAGGGATATGAGAATTGTCATAATTTTTAAGTATTCCTAAATGAAACAGATAATTTTAAAATTATTTTCTCCTTATATGTTCCTCCTTGGTTTGTTCTAGAGTCACCCATTACACCAACATGATGCCTACTGATTTTTCTGGTACAGTAAACATTCCTGAAATGCAATGTGACATGATCTTTCCAAAAATTAGATAGGCATGTTAATGTCAGTGATTGTGGTTTTGGAGCATTTCTTGAACAAAATGTACAGCCCCTTTGAAAAATAAGGCCTGGTAGAATTAGAATGAATAGAATATGAATAAAACACACATGAGAAAAAGTTTTAAGCTTAATAGAACTGATAGAATTAAGAATAAAGGTGAGGCCCCTGAAAAAATTTGAGGCTTTGAATATTTTTGTGAAAGTATTCCATTATTACTTTTATTTCTTGACATTTAAAGTTAAATAAAATTTCATAGAGAAATCATAGTGTTAGCCTTCTGGAAAGTAAAACTAGGAGAACATTTGATTCATTCATTACTTTTAAAATTAGTAAACATTTGTGATTATAATTAATACTTGGTTAGTTATGAGGTAAAATATTTCTATATAGTTTAGAATTTTTAAAAATACTAATCAAATTTCTATTTTCCTCCACTTTCATGTACAGTATTAATAAATTTTTTAAAAGCATTCATTTAATAAAACTTTTCTTCTTTTGGCCAGTAATTCTCAGATAAGGCCTATTTGGGGGGTAGTGACTCTTTCATATCAGATAGCAGATTTAGGAAGTATTTATAATGAAGTAAGAGATAGTAAGCAATGAACATTCATTTAGTTGGAAAAATGCAAGCAGAGAACAGTTGGTGTTCACTGAGATGAAGCACTGACTTAGTGTTTCCCTGTGAATATAGACAGGGTGACAGGCAAACACCTCAAGAAGCTTGAGAATCTATGTTAAAAAGGGGGAACCTACTGGACAGACCATGAAAGCAAAGAACTGAACTATGCTGTCATTGCTGGGCATCAAAAAGACAAAACTGATGCCCTTTGAATTTCCTTGGATCCTTAGCAAAAAAAAGTCAAAAGAATTCACTAAGATAGTAGAGAACAAACAGGAGAGCCTGAGTCAACAGAATTTAATCCCTTTAGACTTGAGAAACAATCACTTTAGTAGAAACTCAGTGTCAGCTGGGCACTAAACATGGATGCAGATACCTGGAGAGGTAGTGGCTGAAGAGATGGTCAGAGTGCCAACTAGGACCCAACATCACACAGGTCCACAGCTTGCGCACAGCTCACCTGTAGCATGACAACTCTGCTCAAAACTCTCATAGCAGGCAGGGACCTACACATTCACATGCAACCTGAAAAAGATAGAGATGATGTTAGACAAATCCTAAATTTGAAATAAAAAGGGAAACACTGAAATGTCTATAAGTTTAATTGGAATGAGATAATGTAGAGAATTTTTTTGGTTAGACAAATTAAGTGGCTATATTATTTCATTCATGAAACTGAAATTGGGTATTGGAAATGTATTTTTTGTCCCACTGCTTTTTTCTAAATAGACTACACATGTTGATTATCTATGAGAAGTCAGCCTCTGAAGTCTGGGTAGATGGGCACAGTTGCAACCTGGAAATGTAGACATGACATGATTCCCCTTCTGGGGATACAGTCATGATCACAGAACATGAAGAAGGGACCATGGAAGGAAGAATGTTAATGTGGATCCTTGTTAATTTTATGTGGATGCTTGTTGATAAAAAAGTTAGGAATAGCACTTTGGCAATATTATATGATTTAAGGAAATAGGAAAAGAGGTGTATTGGTAACTGATGTAGCCCAACACCTAGAACAGAATTTTTACAAATCAGAATCTTAATAAATGTACAGTGAGTGAATGATTAAAAAGTAATTATTTTATGGCCACTTATCAAGATAATTAATTTTGTTTTGGATTGCACACTTCACCTTTTGAAATGAGGAAAAGAAAAAAAAATAATTTCTTTAGATTAATCCTATGAAAAGATCAGAAATTATACTTTTATGTCTCTACATAATACAGTATCAAGATCCCTTATTTACCTCTTAAGATGGGGCACAGAAAAGTCAGCGTTACTCACTGATAAGCAAACCTCTCAAATTCTACATGAGGTTTGAGTGTCCAGAACTTTATGTTATGGTGCCAATGTGCATATACATGGGAGTAGATAAAACCTGGTAGACATATTTTCTCTTAAAGATATACTGTGTTTATTCATTTAACCCATGATGATTTCAGTCAGGAACTGTTGCTATTTATTTTTATTTAACACTTTTACATGCTCATAACATATAACTAAAGACTCTTTCCCCAAAATGCTACTACACATGTTACTTATGTTGGCTGCTGCATACTAATAATCACTGTAGTTGATATAGTTCATGAGTATGAACTATGTTGTTTCTTAAATTGTTTCAAAAATTATTTTGGTTTTTTTTACTTAGGAATAACAGTTGTTTTATACTTTAAGTCCTTCATTTTTATTTGGAATTTGATCACATTATGGTATATTTTAGTTATTTGTACATTCCTGTACAAATAACTACTTCATTTGGAAGTTATTGCTGTGTTTATAATAATAAGTTGCAGTAGATGTTATTTCTCTTTGAAGTTATTGCTGCATTTGTAACAGTAAGTTGCAGTAGATATCATTCCAACTTTCTTTAGACTATTTTTTCTTCAGAATTTTTTTCAAGAAATGTATTACTTCTGTATTTCTCAGGGTATAAGTCAAAGGATTTAACCAAGAACTCCTACTACAAAAAAGATACTAGCTGGTTCAAATTTTCTGTAATGAGCATGAAGAAAAGAGATCTACAGAATAATGAAACAAAAATGTGAAGCACAAATGGAAAAGCCTTTGACTCATTTCTTTTTTGATTTAACTTTGAAAATTGTTAAGGCAATGTAGTTATAAGAAATTAAGACACTACATATTGTGAAGAGTTCAGTGGAAACTGCAAAAGCAGAGAGTATAAGCCCAGTTATATATGGGTCAATACAAGAGAACAAAATCACAGTAAAAGATGTTAATGTGATTAGATCTACAGTAAACTAACCTAAACAGAAGAACTTTGTGAATCATTGAGTACAAGTTTTGAGCATGTTTCATCTGAACACAGAGCTTTTTTTTTTTTTTTTTTGGCATTTCCAATTTTATTTGTATATATTTTGTTTCACTTATGAACAAAGCATTAATATAGATTGTAGTATGTTAATATATTCTATGATTTAAAATAATACAGAGAGAGAAACAAAGCTTTGCTGTCATTTCAGTTTATGTTTGACCCTTGTTTTAGTTACCTTTTGCTCCATAACAAATTGTCTCCAATGGAGATGTATCAAGTCACTTGCCTTTATTACATTCTAGTGTTTATGGGTCAAAACCTGGGTCTTCTGCCTCAAGGTTTTTGTCAAGATTGGAATCAAGACGAAGATGTCGGTTGGAGCTGTGGTCTCAGCTGAAGGCTCCCCTGAGGAGGTTGATTCTAGGGTGACTGGTACGGTGGTTGGTAAGGCTGGGTTCCTCCTGAGCTCTTAGGCTGAGGGCATCAGTTCTTTGCCATGTGGACTTCTGTGTAGGAAGCTTACAACAGGGTACTGGCTTCCTTTGGAGCATGCGAGCCTGCAGGCAGTGCGGGACAGTAGGAAAGATAGCGCAGAGACTTCCGTGACAGGAGTGTCCTTTTAATTCTGCCATGTTGTATCCATCAGAAGCGTCCCTAGGAAGCTAGTGTCCCACGAGCATCAGAAGTGCTAGGAGACTGGCTCTGAGAGCCAGGACAGAGGTGCCCTATCGCAGTCCCAGGCTCTGCTACTCACAGTTTTCAAGCTGTGCAGCATTGGGATCACTTAAGATCTCCAGGTCTCTGTCACTGCACTGTAAAATGGGCTTGTGACAGCCATTTTGATGGAGCATGGTGACGATAGCACAGGACAGCGTGTCTCAGAACCTAGAAAGGCTTGAGTGTGGCAGCCTGGGAGGGCAGTCCTGCTCTTCCCAAAGCTGCAGATGATCTATGGATTGAACATCTTTCAGGATTATCTGTAAAGTTAGAAATCCATCCACACAAGCTGCGTTTTTCCAGAAACTCACATTCCAGGGAACTCTCCAGATAAAATTATGTTTGTGTCAAGGAGCCTGGAATAAAGAGGTCTCTATTTAAAGACTGCTGGTGCGTGGTGAGGAAGTAGGATTGGGCACAATGTTAATCATTGTGATGTGGGCATGAAGGTGCCATAGATTATACAACGCTTAAAGAAAATGGGGCCTTTTACAATGGGTCTCAGTCATTAAGGGCATTCTGCATTCAAAATTAGTCAGAAAAGGTAATTAGTGTCAAGGAGCGATTGTAGCCGCATCGTTAACGTGACAGATGTTGGTGCTGGGTGCTCGCTAATGACTTATGGAAGTCTCATTCAGGAGACAATCAGAGCAATTTGGTGGTCAGCAGACAGTCTGAGAATCAATCACCACAATAGTCAATAATTTATCATTTCTATTTAAAGTCTGGAATCGGCATCCGCTTAGACAGAAGCAAACCCTAACGGAGGCAGTTTGGTCTCCAGAACAGTCTTGAACCTTGGTGTGGGGTGTGTGTAAGTGGTACCTATTTTATTTCTGTACAGAGCAAACCGGAAAGTTGTTCTTTTTGGTTCCATCATAGAGTAGAAACAGCCACGTGCTGCTGGCTGCAGGGAAGTCAGCAGCTAGCTGGGAAGCGAGCTTTAGTTTTACACGTTTACCTCTGGGGATGAGAAA